ATCTGGGTCGGCGAAGGCCCTTTCCATCTGGAGGTTACCCATTGGGATTCAGGAAAGATGGGAAATTGTAGTCCTCCAGGGAATGCAGCAGCCCTTAAAATAAATGTGAGAGATTGTCTCATAGAGGAGAGAGCAGGTGAATTCTGGGTAACTCCCGAGGAAGCCGGGGGGCATATACGGGAGGTGGACCCTGGAGGAGACAGCACTCTGAGTCTCCATCAGGAAAGCTTTCGTCGTGAGGGGGCTCTGGACGTGGTTGGGTCCCGATGACCAGGACAGCCCAGCCTAAGGCCACTTCTCCAAACTGTTGGCTGATTGAACAATCTGCTGATGTAGTGTGCCAGCTGCCTGCGTTGACGGCCTTCTCTAAAATGACGTCACTGTACAAAGTGCCTGGAACTTGGAGCAGCGCAGGTTGCCTGCGACTGTGAGCGTGCTAAGCTGCTGAAGCGCATAGTGGTTCAGAGTGGACACTTGGAGGTTGAGACGGTGAATTTGATGTTCTGTCTATTCTGCCAGTCAGACAGCATGACGTCATTGGACACTGTGATCTCCATGGCTGCCCCTAGCGGTAGCTGGTGTGCTTCCGAGCGGGAGGACACTTGGGGGACAGATCACTCAGCTCTATTTAGTCCAATGATAGGTTACATAGCCACTAAATGAAGGGGGGATCGGTTAATTAAATCATGGCTCAGGCAGAACACAGAATATTACATGTCTAAGAGAAATGAGCTCATGAATCCTGTGCACTGCCAGGGCAAAATACTCGTGAAACAATGTAAAGTGTGCCAAGACAGCATTAGGCTGCTTGTAATGTGACCCTAATTTTAATAGACAGACAAGAAATGGAATGTTTAAGAGTAGTTATCCCTGAGTTGTGAAATTGCCCATGACCGTGGGCCCTTTACACATTTCTCAGAATGTCTGAGAAGAGCATGAATGGTGTTAGAATCTAAGCCCTTCAAAGCACAAAAGAAATCATGGTATTTAGGATTCTGTTGGAGCCCTGATGGCTGAGTGGGTTGCGAATTGGGCTGCTAGCCATTAGGTCAGCAGTTGAAAACCATCAGCCACCCTGCAGGAGAAAGCTGAGGCTCTCTGCTCGAGGAAAGACTTACAGCCTCGGAGACCCGCAGGGGCAGTTCAAGCCTGCCCTGCAGGGTCTCGATGAGTCAGGGTTGACTCGGTGGCTGTGATAGTGAGTTTTTAGAGGATCTTGTTGCCCCGCCCGCAAAACCCCACGGTGTGAGTCGGGGTGCTAAACTGGAGAGAGCCCTGGGTGAGGCGAATGGAGTTAAAACTCCAAGTCAGCCGGCGCTGAGATACTTCACCTCACTCAGCCTCAGTGTCTCATCTGGAGCGGTGGGAGAGAGGAGGAGCCCACGTGTTAGGATCGGTGTGAAGAGCCAGTGAGACCATGAAGGTGGCTGGTCTTGAGCTATTTCCGTGGTCACTGAGGACGCGCAACCCATCCGTTCCCAAGCCTCCGCTCTCAGGAGAACGGCCCGAGCGCTTACAAAAGTCAGCGATTGCCCTTCGCCCAGTCTCTGAAGAGCTAATTGCCGGGAACAGGGCAGCTTTCTCGTCTTCCTTCCTTAACCTTAGTGGGGAAACATTTCGTTTCATCTGAACAGTGGCCACCTGGCTTTCCTTGACCGTCCTAAGTGTGACGTACTGGCGGCAAAATCATTTTCCCTGAAGGACCACCATGTCCCCGTTGTTTCCATCTGCTCCCACCTCCATTCCCCTCACCCCCACCGGGAACATGGCTTTCCCCGAGAAGCCGGACCCTCCCCTTTGGAGGGGGAAGCAGGTGTTTTTCCAGATTGTCCCACACCATTACTTTAAAGGAAGTTTTTCTCTGTTCCCCCTCCCCTCTTACCCCCCACCCTCCGTTCTGCTTCTGCTTCCCCTTGCTTTGAGACCAGCGTCAGGACTTCCTTTGGAAGTGTAAGCTGGATTGGCAGACTTGGGGATTCGAACTCGGGAGTGCTCTGTATGTCCGAGAGGCTGGCTCCTTGGGCTGCAATGCAAGGAGGACCCTTTGGGTTGCTGCGCCGAGCATGCCGCTTCTCTGTTGAATCTCGGCTCCATTTGACAAAACTGGTCTGAGCTGGGCAGAGGGTGCCTGGCAGCTAAAGAGAAAGGTTGGTGGCCTGGGGCCACCCAGGGGTGCCTGAGAAAATAGGTCTAGCGGCCCCCTTCTGAAAACTCCAGGATCCCACAGAGCACAGGTCTGCCCTGGAATATGCACGAGGTGGCCGTGAGCCCAAAGTCAACCTGCTGGTCATGGTTCTTACAGGCACAGAGCACACCGCCTCGCTGTGAGTCTTTATCTGAGGCATATGAGCCTTGCTATTAAACTGGAGCTGCCCCAGTTGAACAAGTGACCTTAATTATGTCCCAGGATCTGAATATGTGCCAGGTCCCACTAGAAACAGAACTGAATCAGATGTGGCTCTCGCCTTCCAGGGGCTGCCCCGCTGGTGAGAGAGACTGACCTGTGCATCAGCCTGGCAGGGGCCCCTGGGAGAGAGCCACCAGCTGTGTCCAGGGCACACCAGAGTCAGTGTCCAAAGTGGGAAAGCCGTGCTCAGGCACGTCGGGGCCAGAGGAATGTCTGCGGGGTACAGGGACTTCAGGGTGTCCCAGCGCAGGGACGGGCCGCCTGTTTGCTTGGAAGCAGGAGTGCTGGTGGCGCCGTGGTCCAAGCGATTGGCTGTGAACCCCAAGGCCAGTGGTTCACAACCACCAGCCACTCCGAGGGAGAAAGCTAGGGCAGTCTGCTTCCGTCCAGACGGCAGCTTGGGCAACTCCACGGGGCAGTTCTGCTCCATCCTCTGGGCTTGCCATGATGGGCAGGGCCCACTCAGCAGCCCTGGCTGGGTCTGGAGGAGCCCTGAGGCCATAGCCATCTGATGAAGAAGAGGCGAGGAAAGGGCTTCGCACAGCTTGAAACTCCAAGAGTAGCTCTCGCGTTCCTGTTTCTCAATCAGACAGTATCTTCTAGTCATGAAGAACCAAGGTTCCGTCCCAGCAGTGGGCACAGCAGGTAGGGGAGGGTGACCGCTGGCCTCAAGTCGCCTGTGGGCAGGGCGGGAGCCAGGGAAATGAGAGAGGCGGCAGTACAGAGAGGCCTAGGGTGATGTGGGGAATTGGCGGTCCAGAAACAGTCCAAGTTCCAGGCCAGGTCAGTGGATGGCAGCGTGAGAGGGCACGTGTTCAAGGTCTTAAGGAAATGGCAGCAAAGAAAAAGAGAGAAGGGATTAAGGAGCCCTGGGCGTGCGGTGGTTAAGCAGTCAGTTGGTAACGGACAAGTCCTTAGTTGGAACCTATACCAGGCACTCTTGGGAGAAAGATGTGACCGTTTGCTTCCATAAACATCGACCGTGTTGGAAACCCTGTGGAGCACTTCCTTCTACACTGTCCTATTGGGCCCTATATGAGTTGGAATCCTAATATGAGTGGAGCGTACATCGTTAGGTCCTATATGAGCTGGAGGAGCCCTAATGGCATAGTGGTTATGCGTTGGTTGCTAACCGCAGGGTCAGTAGCTCTAAACTTCCAGCCACTCCAACAGAGAAAGATAGGGCTTTCTACTCCCGCCAAGAGTTACCACCTCAGAAATTCACAGGGGCATTTCCACCCTGTCCTATAGGGTCACTATGAGCCAGCCTCGACTCAATGACCGTGAGTTTGGGGTTTCTGTGTATGAGTTGGAATCCACTAGACAGTTTAGCAGGAGAGAAAAATAAGTAAGGGCGTTGAGTGTCAGAATGCGGAGAGGGGACTTCGTTGTGTCACTACGTAATTTTAACAAGGAGGTGACACAAACTCAAAGTGCCAACGTGGAGGATGGGTTTATGGATGGCAAAGGCTGGCGGCAGGAAGACTCCCATCCAGACGAGAACCTGATGAGGCCAAGCAGGGAGAGAGGAAGGGAATGTTGGCGCCAGGGAACACTCTAACTGTTACCCTTGGCTGTGACGGCTCCGACTCCGAGTGCTCACACCCCGCCCCTATGTGTTACGGAATAGAACTGTGCCCCATGTGGTCGTCTGCAACTGTGGTGGAAGCAGACCACTGGATCTTTCTTCCAGCCACAGCACCACTGGTTGGTTTGAACCACAAACCTTTAGGGCAGTGGCCAAGTGCAAATTGTGTGTCACTGGGACCTCGGAGGACCTCTCCCAAAGGAGAGAAGAGTCGGGCATCTATTCTGACTCTCCCTGCCTGGGTAACCGGCAGGCGGCTCACACTCGAGGAAGTGGGAAATGCAGGCTTCGCGTCATTTCGGTCCTCCGTCCCTGAGGGCTGTCCTGACAGTTATACACAGTTGGTAGGTGGCTATGTGGATTTTGAGGTGAGAAGAGTGTTCAGAGCCAGAGATGGATATTTTGAGAGTTGTTGCTTCTTAATTTCCTGAAATATTAGAATAATTATAGAAGAAAATATCCAAACTATGGAATCACAACGCTATGATAATTTTTTTTTTGGTATGAGTTCCAAATAAGAAAACCGTTAAGCCAGGAAATGTAATTGCTCCTATTCCTAGAATTGGGTAACTGGTGTATCTTTGCAAATTGTTCATTGAACTGTGCCCATGGCTTCTTGCCAGTCCTCAATGAGATTTTATATTTCTTAATTATTCAATTACTACTCATAAGTAGGAGTTTGACATCAAACCCAGCCTGCTCCGTAATAGAGTGTTCTCTTACAGTACAGCAGTGTCCCACACTGGAAGGCGAGGCCGATAGAACAGAGACTGAGCATCCTGACTGCCGCCGGGTTTAAGGCCAGGCACTAGGTGTGTGACCTTGGGCAAGTCACTGGGCTTCTCTGAGGTCAGTTTTCAGGTCGGTAAGATGGAATGACATAGTGATTGCACCCAATCCCAGGGCTGTCGTATAAATGTAAACGCGCCTGTGTAAGGAAAATCGTGACACATGCGCCGACACGCTCCCTGACGTTTGGTTCGGTTGTTCCCCTGTGTGCCGCAGACCTCAGCAGTCTGAAAATGCAGAAGATACTTCGGACAGTGACATGCTCGCCGCCCCGGAGGGCCACTCCCATTCCGAACCCTACCTGCCCTCCATCTGCCTCAAGCAAGTGTTCCCCAAGTACGCCAAGCATTTCAACTACCTGCGCCTGGTGGACAGGATGGCAAATCTGTTTATCCGGTTCCTGGGCATCAAGGGGACAATGAAGTTGGGACCAACAGGCTTCCGTACCTTCATAAGGTCAGTGAATCTACCTCCTCCTGGCTTTGGCTTGGGTGGGGTGGCATCTCATTCCACACTGAGCTGGTGAGGTCTCTGAGTTCTTGGGAGGGCCTGTGGTGCCCACTCAGTGCCTCGTTTGAGGCTGGATTGCCCTCGTGGTTGGCTCTGGGCCTGGCCCACTGCTGTGTGACAGTGAATGTTATAGATGGGACACTTCTGAGGATCTCGTTACATGAGTTAAAAGGCAAGATGTCACGCTGAAGACGAAGGTAAGCCATGATAGTGCAATAGCCTTATATGCATGCAATAGCTGGACCAAAGAGAATTGAAGCGTTTGAACTGTGGTGCTGGTGAGGAACCTGAGCTATCCCATGCACTGCCAGAAGGACAGTAACTCAGTGTGGCACAGAGTACAACCAGGATGCGGCCTAGAAGCAAGGCGAGTGAGCTCTGTCTCCCGTGTGTTAGATGTATCATCAGGGGGGACCTGTCCCTGGAGAAGGGCATCGTGCTTGGTAAAGGAGAAGTGCAGCACTACAGAGGAAGCGCCTGAATGGGATGGACTGGCCCTGTGGCTGCAACAGGGCCTCAGATACAGCCACGACTGAGAGGATGGTGCAGGAGCAGGCAGTCTTTGGGTCTGTTGTCTGCAGGAGCTGGCTGGGTGGCACCTAGCAGCAACAACAACATGGAGGTGACAGGGCGTCCCTGGGTAGCGCCCATCGTTAAGCGTGCAACTTCTAGTCAAAAGGCCCCTTGGACGCAGCAGGCAGATCAGACAGCTATCCAGGAGATCTGTCTCCCAAAAGTTTCAGCCTTGAAGCCCCTAGAGGGTGGTTCCACTTGGTCCCCGTGAGTCAGATAGAACAACCGCAGAGGGGACAGCAGCACGCCTCACCTTCTACCTGTGGTTAGAAGAATGCTTGTGTGCTATCCTGAGTGAGGCCCTGGGTCAACGCGTGCATTGTGCACCGCCGTGGGGTCAGACGGACCGCGAGCCTCTGCGGCTGGGGCCCAGCTCCCCCCGAGGCGCAGGCCTGTGCTGACGGTCCGTGAAGCTGCAGTCGACAAACAAGGCCCAGCTCTTCCCAGGCGTCACTGTCAGCGGAGAAAAGTTAAATAATTCAGCTGATAAATAATGTAAGACATTTGTTCTAATACAAAAATAACACGGTGGTATTGTGGATTATAATACACAATGTGCATGAATTTTAAAGATAGCACACGAGATAACAAAGAAATTGCATTTCTGCCGCAGCCTACAAAGGAAGCTGCTGCCACTTGATCTTCTGAGGCTGCTCGGTGACTCGCCTCTTCCCTTGGTGGCATTTCTGGGGCAAGGCAGGAGGACTCCCAGACTGGGTCGCCCTTGGGAAAATCCCTTGCTGCTCTCTGTACCTCGATGGCTTCTTCCTGTAAAATGGGGATGAGGCTGCCTAGACCCTAGAGAAGGAGCCCTGAGGCGCGGTGATGAAGCGCTTGGTGGCGAACCAGAAGGCTGGTGTTTCAAACCCACCCAGCTGGCCTGCAGAAGAAAAGGCCTGGCAGTGTGCCCCCAGGAAGATCACAGCTGAAGCCACCTCAGGGCGCAGCTCTCCGCGGTCGCCAGGCGTTGCCACAAGTGGGTATGGACTCCATGGCACCTGGCAGCAACACTGACACCCCGAGTGGGTGCATCAGCCAAACCCACTGCCAATGAGTCTGTTACCACTCAGAGCAACTCTGAACTAGGCTGCTGAGCCCGAAACCCACTACGGGAGCAGACAGCCTCATCTTTCTCCTGAGGAGCCACCAGTAGGTTTGAACTGCCAACCTTGTGCCACCAGGGCTCCTTTGCTGGGTGGTCAGCTCCCCCTCAAATAAAGTGAGTTTCTTCTTATACAGTTAAAAGGGTCCCAACAACAACATATATAAAGTGCCCTGTACAGGGTCTGGCACATAGGCGGTCTGGACCCCTAGGGCAGCAGTGACTCGTCTGGGACAGAGATTTGTGGTGAGCAATCCGTTCATTGTAGCCTATACACCCCAAAGAGAGGCTCTGTCAGCACTCCATGTTGCTGCTGTTTGTCTCCTCGTTGGTTTTCCTCTTTCTACCTGGCACCTCCCAGTCCCACTCTTCACAGCTTTATTCACGACAGCAAATCATTAGGAAACCATTCTGTCAGGCGCGTTGTACTTCCTTTTTTACTAAATGCGTTTTTAGAATTGTAACTCTCAACCAAAGGGGAAAAAAAAAGCCACAACAACGCATTGCTTGTAGTCTCTTTGGTCCTGGTAGGACGCTCAACAAACACTGGCGGGAATTTCGGCCGTGGCAGTCCACCTGAAGTAGTGTTGGCACAGCCCTCCAAGAAGGGCCCAGTGCTCATTTCAGGAGGAAGGAAAGTCTCATGGAAAGAGCACATCTTTGGACACAGAAAGACTGATTTCCTCACCAGGCCTCGTGTTTCCGAGCTGGGCAACTTTAAACAAAT